GGCATTGTGTGCAAAATTGTGCCATTGTAATGTGTATTGTTTAAAAGTCACTTAAAATTGTAAATAGGTTACACACTTGAGTATATGGGTTTGGTTAAATTGTTTTCTAAAAAAATTCTGCCATATCTCTTGTTATTAACAGTAAGTGGAAGAGTAGTTATGGTGCTGGAAAATGTAGCATTTCTAGTAGTCTTCGTTTTCCGCCTTCAGCTTAAGCAACTATAATTTTACTAGCCGTATCCTGAGGGACACATCTAGCTTTTGTGAGACTTCGTCTGAGTTGGGGGTGTTATGGGGCTATAGGACCAACATTATTTATAAGTACAGTACTTGGAATACCTAATATATTGAAATTGATGGGGACTTTGCTCTAAATGTCAGAAGGACTGATCAACCTTTTGACTGAGAGGCAGCTGGGTCAAGCCTATTTTTCTCAATTAAATAGGTTATACTATAGACACATAAACACACCAATTAAATAAGTAGTTTATAAATGTTGTATTTCCTTTTGTAGAAGTAAATTAAGGTGTGGTAGACATTGTGGTAACTGGAGAATTGTGCTTGGCAAACAGTTCTTTTGTTGTTTGGTGGGAGGAGCAAGTTGTATTTCCTTTTGTAAAGTTAAAATTAAGGTGTGTAGAATTGTGGTAAACTGGAGATTTGTGCTTGGCAAAATAAGTAGTTTATTAAGTTGTATTTCCTTTGTAGAAGTAAATTAAGGTGTGGTTAGCAATTGTTGGTAACTGGAGAATTGTGCTTGGCAACAGTCTTTTGTTTTGGTGGGAGGAGCTTAGCCTCTTTCTCTCCCTCTCCCTCGTCTGACTCGGTCTCTCTGTGGCTGCCTTCACCTGCAGGATCTGGGTCCTTCTTTCTATCTTTTGGGGCTTATGTGTGCTCCAGGGTTGTGAGCTTTTTTTTATAATTTAAGTTGTGACACCCATACCCAGGGTGACTAGAGTGTGTCAAACATGGTTTTAGCCCAGAGTTATGTCAAGGAGAGAGAGAGGACTAAAGTTGTTGAGATATTACCATGTTTTTTCTTTATCTGGGAGAACAGCTATGCACAGTGTGTAGATCGTTGTTTTGAAATGTGATGGTTGTAATTGTTATATTCTGTACATATCTATGAGACTACAGTTATATTTTTTATTAGTAGTAGTTTACCTAACCTGTGAAGAGGGCTGGTGAAAGGGTTATCAGAGTCACTCAGGATGATCAGCCATGATGTAAGTATTACCCCTAGACATAATAAGACCATTAAGTAAAAAAGCTACCCCACACTAGAACATGTAGTGAGAACCTTTATATCAAAAGTATAAGGGACAACCAACGTAACACATTACACAACTGTAGGCCAGACCAACAAGGGGTGGCACAGCAAATACTACTCAGGACCAAATAGAATGTATCACCTAATACTTGCACAAGGGTATGAACATGGGGAATATATAATAGCAAATTCAATCCAAAATACCTACAAAAACCTCTCACATTGAATAAACATCTACAGAGTTCCACAGTCAAACATTAGCCATGTGATAGTATAAACCTAGGAAGTATGATAACTGATGCACGCATGAACAAAGATCACTTCTACTCTCAGGTGACTTCATATATAAATCTCCTGCAAGGACAGGACCCACACTGTTTTCTGAATTCACAAACACAATGAGTAACTGTATGTGCTACCAAACAGTAACAAACTACAAGAGTTACAGAGACTAGTGTTTCCCTTACTTGACACATCTGGACCAAACACCTATCCCCTTTTAAAATCAGGCATAATTACAGATAATACCACAGATCCACTACCCTACTTTTCTCATAGCAACTCTTGGTAAATTACCCCCAAGACACTACTAAGTCACCTTCAGACTCATCACAATGAAGGCAGCCATTAATAAACTTCACAAACGCAGTGGCAAACATTGGACTGGCACACTGAAGCTAGAATCTATACAGATATTGACGAATGATATTAATAATTTTCTAAAAAAGACCAATACCTCTATACAAGCCTGCCTAAAAAAAACTAAACAGATGACCAGCCCTAAGAGACCTGAAGAGACAGTCCCTGGTTAACACCCGACATATCTCAAATCCATTAAATACTCATAAACACCAATATGAAAAACAGTACAGAAAGGTCACATAACCAGAGACCCAAACAAAACGTTACTCGTCATTCCTAACCAGCAGGAAAGAAGGGCAAAAAAATTGTATTATGAGAACAGATATCCAACTTACGAGGGTGATATAAAAAAGACTGGAAAACCCTTATCAGAAAAATCGGAAACAAAAAGATATCACGAAATAGCGAATAAAATAGCAAAATCAGATGACACCCCCAACTCCCACCAACAGAAACAGCAAACAGACTTCAATGTCTTCTTCTCCACTAATAGGACAAACCTTGCCAATAAATAATCCCAGCTCAGATACCCACCAAATGACTACCTCACCGGCAACTACAGAAACACACTGTTCCTAGCTCCGACTAACCCATACGAAAGTCTCCCTTATTATCAAACAACACTAAAAAAAACAAGGCAGGAGAATAGGAGATTTAAATACCTTTCCACCTTTATGATACAAAAAAGTGTCACAAGTGCTATCACCAAATCATTCAACACTCTTTAACCAAATCCATGAATCCTCCACCTTCCTACAGTACTCAAAATAGCAAGGGTCTCCCGACACCCACAAAGAGGAGAATCCAAAACAGGAGTTGAAATAACTATAAGGCCAATATCCAACTTAACCCTCTCTCAAAAAAATCTTCGAAAATTAATTCATAAACGAATCTACTCTACCTTAATCCTTCCCAAAACTTACTCAAACCTGCCAATTTTGGATTCAGGCCAGATAAAAATACTAATGGATGCTATTTTACACATGCTAGTACATTTATACTGCATAGAGAGAAAAGAATCCACTGGGGATCTTCATTGATTACGTAAATGCTTTGATACAGTTAACCATGACTTGCTCCACGTTATAAATTGTCCACACTATGGCTATTAAGAGGCCACTCCCTCAATACCCTCTAAGTCAATACCCCTCAGCCAACAGTAGGCCAATTGTGTATGCAAATGGGGCAAACTCTTCAGCACAATACCAAATTTACAGTTGGTGTTCCCACAGGGAAGTGTCCTTGGCCCTCTTCTCTTTCTACCTATACATAAATGGCCTTACCAAATGCTTCGCAAATTACTCAAACCCACACTATTTGCCAGATGACACTACATACGTTTCTCCAACCCGATGCCCCCAACGGTCCACGCTAGCCCATACTGTAAATTTACCGTATTACAGAAAAATTATCTTCTGGATGGAGACTAACAAAATTACACTAACTTGACAAAAACCTACTTATTCTGTTTGGTAACAGAGCTACAGATGTCCCTCTTAACATTAATGATAAACGGATCACTATCACAAAGCTAGAACAGAGGGAAAATTCTTAGGGAATCCACCTTGATAATAGACTCAAATTTCATACACATATACAAACAAAATCTAAGAAAATTTCCAAGACTGTAGGCATTACTATCGAAGCTAAGGTTACTATGCTCCACGTCAGCCCTCCTGGCCCTATATTCACTCTCTTATTTACCCCTATCTCACCTATGGAATTTGTGCATGGGGCTCAACAACAAGTACCATCTCAGACAGACTAAATTTACCCAACAGAAAGCTGCTGTTAGGATGATAACAAATTCTCACTATAGGCAGCACACTCCACCAATATTCAATACACTAAACCTAGCTTCACCCATACAAAACATCCATATTATTACTGCACCTATTACATTAACATAGAACACTGTAACTCTGATATTAAACCCTCCGCTCAAAATCTCCTTGCCAACCTCAAACAGAACACATGCCCCATAACACAAAGGCACAGATCACTCTTTGATGTTCCTCGGTGTCCATCTCACACTATGCAAAAAAACTCAAATGCACATAAAAGGGCCTAAAAATCTGGAATCTCTACTGTGAATATAAAGAAACACACTGTTTATAAATTCAAGTCTCTTCTCAAAGATTCACTTACTCACCCAAAACCAAATAAATATTGAATATACTGAACCTTATAAATTGTATAATTTAAATGTTTCACACAATTATATCACATAAATGTTAAACCTAAAAACCCAATCTAACTTTGTTATTTTTTTTAAATACACTACCTAACAGAATACTCCATTCTACTGAATGTACAACAATGCATACAACCATATGACCTGTCTTTGTAATACTCACTTGTGCTTTATAGTAATCTGTTTACATTAATGTTTTATCACTGATTTAATCATTGCTTAGTTTAATCTTAAGTTATTTTTAAGGCCAGGGGGACCCGTTGTTTTTTTCTTAAATTTTTTTTTTTAGCTAGGCATAGTATTACAGTGGCTTTGCATGTGCTCTTATCTGTATTTTTTGTACCTCTGTATGTGTGCTCAAATTTTTAAATAAATAAATAAATAAATAAAGTATTTTGCCCGGTCTCCAGACAAACTCTCGTCCACCACTGACACTGCCCATACCACTACATGAATGACATATTTCATTCATTTCAGAGTATATATCAGGTTTCTATGTTATTTATATTGTTTATTATGTCATATTAGATGAAGTGAGATAGAAAAATAAGCCGTAGAGTTGATATTTGCGAAATTATTGAAGTACAGAATTCCACTGGAACGGATTAATTGCATTTCAGATAATTTTAATGAGGAAAATTGACTCTGCAAATGAGCAAATCCAGTTGCGAGCAAGGTCATGGAATGGATTAAACTCGCAAGTAGAGGTTCCACTGTAATAATAATAATAATAATAACAATAATACAGTATACAAATAAAGTCATATGGTGAAAGTGCTGAATGATGGTGAAAGTGCTGAATGATGGTGAAAGTTTTTCTTTTTTTTTGGGGGGGGACCCTGCCTTGGTTAGAGATGGCCATGTTTAAAAAAAAAAAGTGTTGTAAGTACTAACCCTCAGCATCAGTAAGTCCAGCATCATTCATCATGGACACTTGCTCCAGTGCTGGGTCATCTGTGGTGTATCCAGTACTTTCCTGATCGAGTAATGGTTCAGATGCTGCTCCATCATCATCCTCACTCCACTCTGACTGGCTTGTTTCTCCACCATCACCACCACCACCCTGGACATAAATAAAATTCAAATTTTCATTTTTATTATGCAGTACACAGATAATATATTTTGCATGTAATAAAAACATTGGTAGGAACAAAAGAAAGCCACTGCAATGCAATAAAGATCCATAAGGCTATTTAACTTTTTCCTCCAAAAAAAAAAAAAAGCTTATGACAGAAATCTATGGAATAAGTAAACAATATAGAGTATGAACAAAAAACTTTGATACTCCATGTGTATGACCTAACATGTTCAAAATGTACATAACTGTTACAAAAGTAGGTGACATTTATTACATACAATTTTTAAAACTTCCGGTGATACAGAGCCTTGGTTGGTAGTGCACTCAGCTCACACACTGAGGGTCCATAAGTCAATCCCCAGCATGGGTGCCAACATTGGGTATGTGTCCTTACACTGCCCATGTTCACCTAGTAGTAAATAGGTACAGTAGACCCCCGGTTTTCATAATTAATCTGTTCCAGAAGGTTCGCCTAAATCCAAAATGGCCAACAACTGAAGTAATGTTTCCCATAAGAAATAATGTAAATCCAATTAATCCATTTCAGACACCCCAAAAAATATTAAAAAAAAATAAATTTTATAGAGAATAACTACAGTGGATCCTCAGGTAATGGCATTAATCCATTCCAGAGAGCTTGCCTTTAACCCTTTCAGGGTCCAAGGCCAAAATCTGAAGGGATGCCCCAGTGTCCAAGAAATTTTGAAAAAAAGAAAAAAAAAAAAAAAAAAAATTCTTTCAGAATTAACCCTTTCAGGGTCCAAGGCCAAAATCTGAAGTGGTGCTCCAGTGTCCAAGAAATTTTGAAAAAAAAAAAAATTATTTTTTCTTACAGGTAATAAGACAAAAAAAAAATCTGATCAGTACTTACCGAGATACAGTGCCAAGAAGTTTGTCAAAAATGATGTGGTGGCGGCAACATCGACGAATTCCACATACGCGCATTACATTATTTTGTGGTTTTAGTTGTTTTTTTCTTTTCTTTTCCAATTTTTTTTCTATTCCTACTAACATTTGGGGCCTGAGAGACCAATACTGTATATAATGTATATATATAAACTCACTGTATTGAACACAATAACCGCACTAAAGTTATTATCATATTATTGTTTACCACTGTTGTTTATTACAATAAACATGCACAAATATTGTATAATACTAATGTTCTATCATATATTTACATATTTACAATCATGGACATGGTTTAAAACTGCTGGAGCTTGTGGAACTCCTTGAACAACAGGCACCATGCACAGAGGCACCTTACATTCCTCACACATAAACGAGTGTCTTTGCGTCTTTGTTGCCGTCGTTTTGTTTGTGCACAGACAATGCATCTCTTCTGAGCAAATTTCTTCTGAGTTGAAGGAAGCTGTATTATGAAATGATCACCTTCTCTCTTCAAATGCTTGGGTATATCCTGAGGAATTCGAGGACCATGTTGTATAGCAGGTGTTGTTACCTGGTACTTCATTATGAGTTGTCTGACAAAGACAAACAAAAATTCACCATACAGTGGTCTGTTGCCAGTCTTTATTTGGTACATATTATATGCATTGAGCATTGAAATGTCCATGAGATGGAAGAAAAGTTTCATGTACCACTTGTAATCTTATGACACAGTCAACAAAACCAATCTGCATGTCACACTTGTCAACAAGCGCATGTTTTGATGTGTTAATCAATCATGACACTGGTTTTCGAATACGTTCATTAGTCACTCGATCAACTTTGCCACTGTCTTGCATTTCATTACGGTGAATGGTTGTCAACAATGTGACATCTCGTTTGTTCATGCCACGTAATGCCACGATGTCATTGGCAGTAAACACCTGCACGTCATCACCACGAGCACTGCGTGAGCCTGGGCATATGTTTACAATTAGAATGCACTGTGCCACACACATCTGTCTTGTTCACTCACATGAAATCACTGAGTAATGGGCTTGTGTACCAGTTATCGGTATATAATGTATGCCCCTTACCAAGATAAGGTGCCATCATGTTTCTCACTACGTCACCTGAGATACCCAATAACATCTGGTATCTTTCAATGTTTTACTACCCGTGTATACAACAATATCCAACACCAGGCCACTGTCACAATCACAGAGTACAAACAGTTTTATACCAAAGCGTTTCCTCTTGCTCGGTATATACTGCTTGAATGACAGTCTACCTTTGAACAAAATCAAAGACTCGTCAATTACAAGATTCTTGAATGGATAAAAGTATATCTTGAACTTTTGTTTGAGATACATGAGAACATTTCTATCTTGTATAACCTGTCACTTCTGTCAGGCCTGGTTTTGTCAGAGAAGTGCAACATACGTAAGAGTAAGATAAACCTGTTCACTGGTATGATTTCACTGAAGACCGGGGTAGAAATTAGCGATCTGTGGACCAGTATGCTTTTATATTATGCTTATAGACGTGAGGCATAAGCATTATTGTTGCAAAAAGCAAATACATTTTCTGCAACAGTCGTTCTTTCCACCTGTGTAGTCTTGACTGTGGTGATAAGATCGTATTTGCCATGGTGTACTCAAAATACTTATTACTTTCCCTGACAATAATTTCCATCAATGGTGGTCAAAGAATAATTCAAAGAATTCCAGTTCATTGGCGTGGTTCCAAGGGGACAAGTAGGTAGAATTCCACTTTGAGAGTCATCAAAGTGGTGAGGCTTGGGAACAAAATTGGGATTTTGCTGCCAATCCCACATAGGGTTTGCTGGTGGATACTGGACATCATAGGCTGGTTGTACGGGTGGTTGTGGTTGTGGCAGGCTGGTGGCTGATGCTCCGCTTTGTCCTTGAACTGACGAGTCAGCAGCGTGGGTCCCAGCGTGGCCTGGTGAGTCACGCATGGCGGTGCCACTACCATCACTACTAACACCATCCACTGATGCCTGGGGTCTATCCATGCCAAGTGTAGCCACATCATCCTCACTATCACTACCTAAAACTGGTGTAGGGCCACGGGATGTACTCCGGGATGTACTCCGGGATGTACTCTGGCCCTGGGCACAGCATAGGGTACACTACCCGAGCGCATGCAGTGGCGAACATACCGACGCTTCACTGGTGAATATGATTCCTCACTATCACTACTCGAAAGATCGTCGTGAGCGCAATTAAAATCACAATCACGTCACTATCATTGTCATTACTGAAGTCAGAGGCTGGCCACGTGAAAATATTAGTTTTCTCTTGCATTGAGGAACAACCGACCGTGAGTCACGAGTGCCCACACCAGAGGTAGAAGGTTGAGGATCGTCAGGGTTTTCTGCACTATTATCGATATCCTGGTCATTCTTTTCGGTCACTAACTGATCAAAGCAGTAGAATTCGTCTTCATTTCACTTCCATCAGTGTCAGAACTATCAGATAGGAAGAGGAGAGTCCCAATTTTCCGGAGAGTGAGAGCTGACTTGCGATGAGGCATGGTGAACAAGGGTGACTGAGCCAGCATTCCCACAATGCTATGCAGGTGCCTAGATTTTTGGTTTATGGCGCACACCACCACGCAGACATTCTCTCACATGTAGGCCTATGAGCGCTTTCATGCTAAATTTGACGGCGCTTAGAATTTTGGCATAGATCTACGGTTTGGACACTCAACGTAAAGCCATAGATCTACGGGACGGACCCTGAAAGGGTTAAAGATAATACTTTTGTGAAGGTAAAACAAAAAAAATTTTTGGTATAAGTACTTACTGAGATACAGCGGTGGGAAGTTGACCACAATGAGCAGGTGGCGGCAAACATCAACTTCAGGAAATCGCATTTTTTTATTTTACGTTTTTTATACTTTTTTCTTTTCTTTTCTAATTTTTCTTTTTCTAGTAACATTTCTGGCCTGTGAGACCAATTTTAATGTATATTGTATAAAATGTACACTCATTGTATTCAACACAATAATGCACTAATTTGTTTTTTCATTATATTGCTTACAAAAATTGTTTTACAAGTTTATTGTAAACAAAATGATGAAAAAATTTGTGTGGTTATTGTGTTGAATAAACAGTACCATATAGTACCATATGGTTTCAATGGTGCCATAGGGTGCAATGGTACTATATGGTACAATGGTACCATATGGTAAAATGGTACCATATGGTAACAATGGCACCATATGATACAATGGTACCATATGGTAGAATATGGTTTACAATGGCACCATTTGGTACAATGGTACCATATGTTTACAATGGTACATATGATACAATGGTACCATATGGTGCAATGGTACCACATGGTACATTGTACCATATGGTACTACATGGTACTGTTGTAGTCAACACAATAAACACACTAATATTTTCACCATTATTTTGTTTACAATAACTGTTTACAACAAAAGTATGCAAAAATGTTGTATATTAGTAATGTTCTATTATGTATTTACAAATGTACAGCCACTCAATATGTTCCTTGAGGTGGATGACAAAGTGCTTTGTCTTGGAAACTGCTGAGTCAGTGACTTGCTTCTCCACTCACTCAGTCTTGGCTGGTGCCTTGTGGCATCAACACTTCCAACTGACCATATGGTACATGGTATCATATGTTACAGGGTACCATATGGTACAGGGTACCATAAGGTGCAGGGTACCATATGGTACAGGGTACCATACAGTACACAACACCATATGGTACAGATAGTGATCCCTATGGAAATAAGTCACCATGACTTTTCTGGGTTATCCTAGAATTTTATACATCTGCTGCTATGTACGATAATCTAATGTAACTATTTGTAAACCCCTGAATAAACTTACTCAAGCACATGTGGCATAGTAAGTAAGTTTATTTAGGTATACACAAATACAGTTACATAGATTATCATACATAGCAGCATATGTTTGGAGAACCCTAAGATAACTAAAAAAATTCAGACTTATTTCCATTAGGGTCCCTGTACCATATGGTACAATGTACCATATGGTATAATGTACAATATGGTACAATGCACTATATGGTACA